TGCTCTGTTTGGAAAGCGCTGTGAGACAACTGTTGTTGTGATGTGGCGCTATATAAATAAAACTGAATTGAATTGAGTTGAAAACTGGGTTTCTGCCTGTTAAAAGGAAGTTTTTCCTTGCCTGTGTCGCTTAGTGCTTGCTCATGGTGGGAATTGTTGGGTTTCTGTAATTAACTTCAGACTAGGGTCTGACCTGCTCTGTTTGGAAAGCGCCGTGAGATAACTGTTGTTGTGAGTAGCACACTGAGTTGTGATGTGGCGCTATATAAATAAGATTGAATTGAGTTGCATATTTTAGTATCTTGACAGCCCTACCTCTGCGTAGGCGTGGCGCCCGCCCAGGCAGGCCCCGGTCCTCCGGAGCACCACGGCGGGGGCGTAGACCGGCTGGCTCTGGAATCGGGGGCTCTGGCCGCCCCTCGGCCCCAGCAGGCAGCCCTCGCACAGGCAGTACGCCTCCGGGATGCGCCGCGGGTACCGGGAAGGGTTGTACGAGATCCTGGAGAGAACCGGGAGAAAAGAACGCCGTCACGGGAGGAGCCTATGGTGACGGTCTGCAGGAAGACAAGGACGGATGTCCAACTCCTCCCGCGGCCATTTTGAATTAGGTCATGTGACTAGCAGCTTTCTGAGGTGGAAACAATGCTTTACTGTCTGTATGAAATCGGAAGATAAACGATGTCCTAACCCTAAACCTAACCCTAATCATAACCCTGACCCTAACCCTAAATCTGACACTAACCCTAACACTAAACCTAAATCTGACCCTAATCCTAACCCTGACCCTGACCCTAACCTTGACCCTAATTCTAACCCTAAACCTGACCCTAATCCTAACCCTTTTACTGACCCTAACCCTAATCCTAACCAGGAACCGGGACAAAAAACGCCGTCACGGGAGGAGACACTGGGCTGAGCCTCTGGGTGTGAGTCTGTGGGAAGACGAGGATGGATGTCCAACTCCTCCTATAGCCAAAGCGGCCATTTTGATTAGGTCATGTGACTAGCAGCTTTCTGAGGTGGAAACCATCCTTTACTGTCTATACGAAATCAGAAGATAAACGATGTCCTAACCCTGACCCTGACCCTAACCCTAAATCTGACAATAACCCTAACCCTGACACTAAACCTAAATCTGACCCTAATCCTAACCCTGACCCTAACCCTAACCCTAACCCTAATCTTGACCCTAACCCTAAACCTGACCCTAATTCTAACCCTAAATCTGACCCTAATCATAACCGGAAACCGGGCCAAAAACGCCGTCACGGGAGGAGAAACTGGGAGGAGCCTCTGGCTGTCAGTCTGCAGGAAGACGAGGATGGATGTCCGACTCCTCCCACAGCCAAGGCGGCCATTTTGATTAGGTCACGTGACTAACAGCTTTCTGAGGTGGAAACGAAACTCTACTGTCTATACGAAATCGGAAGATAAACGATTTCCTTACCATAAACCTAACCCTAACCCTGAGCTAAATCGTAACCATAACCCAAATCTTGACCCTAATCCTAACCTTGACCCTAACCCTAAACCTGACCCTAATTCTAACCCTGACCCTAATCCTGGCCCTAACCTAACTAACTTACTCTAACTTTCACTACCTGAACTTCAAACTAACTTATCTTATTTATTTTTATTTGTTATTTTCCTTCTATGAGTTTGACGTCATATGTTGGAAATTTACTTC